CGTTTTCACAATAAATAAGCAGAGGGATTAAAAAGGATCTTTCAAAACAGAGTTTGGGAATTATAATGGGTCTAAACTCTTTAATTGAAATATGCTATTCTTTCATAAACTTTCCTACAAAAGAATTAATTGATTATACATTAAAAAAAATATCGTTTTATATTTGTAATCACTAACCTGCGACTGACGTACTCAATATAAATAAAGTCGTCAAGGCGATATTAAAAAGTCTTATAATCTTCATTATTATCGTTACAAATTTTAAACAGGAAGAAAGGGGATTTAACCAGGACATATACTTTAAACAAAGAAATGTCACGCTAATTTGAAAAATATTATTCCCTTATGGTTTAAACTTACATTTTTATTCACATGTACACAATAGTTTGACGTACATCACTAAATTTGAATCCAAAAAGAAACGTACGCATTGTCGTGCTAAATTTAACACCACTCGTAATTCAGAAGTATTAATGAACAGTAAGTAGATGTGTGACAGATCCGAAAAGCAAGTGCACGTTAAAATCATTACTACAAAGCTGTTGGTAAAGAAAGGCAGTTTTGTTCAGTAGTACTACATAATTGTGTGACGAATTATTTTAAGGTTATTCACTAAATTAGATTAGTATCGGCAAAAATGTAGAAGTCACGTAGGTATCACACGGATCCAAACAATGATCACACATTACAACTTCTCACTGCCAAGCTTTTAACCGGAGATGGAATTATTCTGTTCAGTAGTACTTCATAAAAACTGTAACGGAATAGTTGTTGGACGAAGGGACGGACAAAGTTAAAAAATTATATCCCTTTACTCATTGAATAGCTGTATAAATACAAATACATAATTGTTAATAATTTCTGACCAATCTTAAATACTTTAAAAACGTTGTTTCCCGGGAAGTAGAAAAATATATAATTTTGGCTTAAATCTGTAGAAAAAAGAAATTGCCTTGTTTATTTAAGTCTGCAACTATTATGAGTTAGTGAATGTCAGATAATCTCTTTATCACGACGAAACATTTGCTTTATAAATTGTTTTAAGGATTAATCTTTTGTAATAATTCCACGATCACCATCTGAGATGACTACAACAACAGTGGTATTTATTAAGAGACTACAATAAATAGGAATAATAAATAAATACTACTACTACTACTACTACTACTGCTGCTACTACTACTACTACAACTACTACTACTGCTGCTACTACTACTACTACTACTACTACTACTACTACTACTACTACTACTACTACTACTACTACTACTACTACTACTACTACTACTACTGCTACTACTACTACTACTACTACTACTACTACTACTACTACTACTACTACTACTACTACTACTAATAATAATTATAATAATAATAATAATAAAAATAATAATAAATACAATATATAATATTAAAAACAATGTATAATAATAATAATACATAAAACTTCAATATAAGATAACAAAGTAATAAATATTAAATCTTATCTTTTATTTTGAGCAAAGGTGAAAATTTGCAATGCATTTTTTATTTTTAGTTTCCCTGTTCCTTGCAATTTATACTTAGTTATAAAGGCAACCTTTGTTTGATTATCAAAAAATGTGTGTCATTTATATAAAAAAAACATCCTCAAACTTATAAATGAATTCATTCAGAAACCTTAACAATACCACTTCCCTTTACCGTGAACTGGAACAGTGAAAACAATGCACACTTAATCGTGTACATACACGGTATTGTTGAAATTTATATAGTCTAAGATGCAGAGAAAGTTCTTTGCTGATTTGTAAGTAATGTAATCTGGTAACATGGTTTTATGTTCCGGAAAATATTCAAATCAAAAGAAAAAATGCATAGGAACAGTATATTAGTGTATGTTTAGATATTGTTGGTCAAAGTCGAATAAGTAATTTCATGGATTACCAACATGTGCTTTGGGCATTGTAAATTTTTCCTGATTTATCCATTCATTATACGATTCCAAAGCTAGTACCCAGTCGTACCAAAGCTAAGAAAATAAGAGAATCGATAATAGAATAGTCGACAGTGAATAATAAGGATCAACGACAGAATAATTATATCTAAGACGTTGACAATATGGAAATAAGAAGATGTGGTATGATTGCCAATGAGATAACTTTCCACAAGAGACCAAATGACACAGAAATTAACAACTTTAGGTCCCCTTACGGCCTTCATCAATGAGCAAAACCCATACCGCATAGTCAGCTATAAAGGGCCCCAAAATAACAAATGTAAAAAAAAAAAATCAAAAGAGAAAACTAACGGCCTAATTTATGTACAAAACAATGAACGATAAACAAATATGGTACACAGTAACAAACGATAACCACTGAATTACAAGTCTGCAGCAGTTGATGATGGCAAATGGAGAACTGGACAAGTGATTATTTCACTGGTACTCTCGCAATTTGTTGCTGGTCCTCGAAAACTTCAGTACATCAGTAAAAAATATACAAGTAGATTTTTGTAGTTTATTTGACGGGTTAAGTTGGTAAAAAGCGGAGGAAGCTGTATCGGTTGTTTCTTTAATCTCTAGTTCAGGAAGATATATTAATCAGAATCAATCAGAAAAGTTTGGACTGGTAATGGAAAGAACATCATCAATATACCTGTATGGGAAATTAATAATCTTGGAGTTAAACACTTTATTTTTTTTTAATCAATTCGTAAATTTATAAACAGACACCTTTAAAAAGGTTTGCAATAAATCATGTCTATTCGAAAGAACTGACTATTGAGTTGATGATACCATCGAGACTGATAGTCTACCAGCAACGGTATCGACCCAGTGCTGTAAAAATTGAAAACGAAACTTTATAAATGTCATTCGGCCGAGGCCCTTTTCTAGATATACCTTCACCAGGAACGCTCAATGCCGAATGTTTAAAAGCCAAGGATGTATAAGAACCAAACAGTCAAATAGCAATATGACATCAAAATAAAAGAAAAATCCATATGCTTCTAAGGTAAACTTTTCCTGAGGGAGTTGAAACCTTAGTTTCTCAACAATTTCTTAACTTATAAAAGGACAATTTTAGAAAGGTTTGTAATAAATCATGTCTATTGAATTGATAATACCCTCGGGGACTGAAAGTCCACCAGCAGTGGTATGGACCCAAGGCTCTAAACAAATATTAACACTTTTAAAATGTCTTGCGTTCGAAGCGCTTTTTTCTTGGTTTACCGTCATCAGCAACGGTCAATGCCGAATAATTGAAAGCCAAGGATGCACAAGAACCACAACAGTCGGAGAGCTACATGTATAGGTAAAAAAAGGGCCTAAATATTATAACCATATCCATGTAAGGCCACTGTTTGCCTGAGAGAGTTGAAACTCTGGTTTCTTATCAATTTCTAAATTTATAAACGGACTAATTTAGAAAGAGAAGTTATAAATCATGTCAGTACCGAAGTACGCTGTTTGAGAATGTATGCATTTATTGGAAGCGATTTAAATTACAACAAAGTCGGTTTATCTGTAATTTACCCGATTATGTCATATTCCCAATAGCAACATTTTGACTGAGTGTGGATTTCCATTGAGGGCGATGAATGCAAAGCAGAAGAAGCTTGCCTTAAAGGCGCGACCGGTCTCGCTCTGTTCGATTCCCTGACATTATGCGTGTAGCCTTGATTTGTCCTTTGTTTAACATGATTGAATAGTTCGATTTAAACATTTGAAATCTATTGGTACAAAATTTAGATTCGTTTTCTTATTACTAATGACATGAATTGAAAGCTATGAAAAAGACTTGTTTGTCTGAGAGACATATCAATAAACACTAGATTATGATCATATTTTTCTCAATGCTTTTTAAATCACAATTTAAGGAGAGCTGATTTCAGAATTAGATATAAGATAAAGTAGTGTAGATTATTTAAAAGTCATACGTTTTTATTTCATTACAAAATTATATACATTGACGGAGGATATTGAAGAAAATATTTAGATTTTCCAGTAAAACACGGCTGATTAACAGGATCTTGAAATACTTCGCCACAATTTTTTTTCTTTGCTTTGCAGGACCGAGAAAGGAGTTAAAACACAATATTGCAAAAGATAACAGACAGAGAGACAATGGCGAATCAATATTGCGACCACAATAGTCCTTATCAAGGGACTGTTTAAAGACTAAGAAAATGTCAAGATCATAATTCGACCGAAGAAACCGAAAAACAGGTTATGTCTGGTAAACATGATTTATTTATTAGTTGTAATTGGCTTTGAACTTGTTGTTTGTTAGTTAACGTGAATACTCTTATATCGGTGCTTTGTGTCTATTGTATTTATGCCATGTGGTTTACAAGTGTTTTGTACCTATTCATTGAGTTTAGCCATCTGCATCTGATTTTTACAATTTGTTTTTGTGTTGTAACACCACTGTCCCATGGTAGAGAATAACTGAGCGCTCACACACGTGTTTAATTCCACTATATTCTTTATTTACTTATCCCAAGTCAAGAGCCTGTAATATAGTGATTTTAGTTGGTTCATGTGTGTCATATTTGTTTTTCGTAAGCTATATCGCATAAATTAGGCAGTTACTTTTCTGGTTTAAATTGTTTCACAGTTTTTTACGTCGAGGCCTTTTAAAGATGAACGTACGTTTAATAGGGGTTTCTCATTGTTGAAAGCCGATCGGTGATCTATAGTTACTTTTATCTTTGTCATTTGTTCAAATCTCATCAATCGATTAAGAAGGTACTAATAAAGGTAACAAACAAAACACTGAGGGATTCGAATTAACTCCAAAGGGACCGAGACCAAGTTCGTCAACAGGGTAATAATCTCTTAATATGTAAGCATCACCAGCCATGTGAATCTACATTCTGTCAAAAGTGCATAATCTGGTATAGGACACATTGGTAAAATTACAACCTTGACGACTATTTTCGTGTAAGGAGAACATAACTTTTAATGAAGTTCGTATAATGTGAATATACACGAGCGTAACGTGTTATAAATGTAAACGCCATGAGATTTGTTCTTCTAATTTTTCTATTTTATTCAATGAAACATGCAAAATTACATAATACCTTATTAGGCAAAGTGTATAAAAATTACGTATCAATTTATAAGATATAAGAAAAAATATTGATTTAGGTTTTATATACCACTCCAATATTGTAGATATTCTATCCCACACCACTATGTTGTGGTCAGCAATACTTTCTTACATCTTCTTTTGTATACATAGACATGTATGTAAAGAGTCACAACATAATTTTTAATGTTTTACTATTAACAAAAACCTAAAAACATACAGAAAATAACTTATATTGCACTAAAAGATAAGAAAATGTCATGGTTTATCATCTAGTCTATCCCCATAGCCACACATTTTATACATCATCACATTCCCAAACAAAGGAAAATATTTTTCACTGATTTCTGAACAAAACGGACATAATTCAGTTTTGTTTAATTTGCATTTAAATACAAATGAATTACATGGTAAAATCCTATGAACATGAACTTCTTAAAATGAAAATGATTTAAAAACAAATGTCTCGCTATTAAAAAAGAGGGGCAAAAGATACCAAAGGGACTTTCAAACTCATAAGTCAAAGCTAAAACTGACAACGCCATGGCTAAAAAAGAAAAAGACCAACAGACAAACAATAGTACACAAAACACATAAACTGCATAGAGTAAATAGTATTTCAATCTTCCATATGTATATTCAAATATAGTTCCCATGCATTATTGGAAGATAAAGCCAATACTTTATTATCTTCCAAACATGATTTATAAAAAAGGTTCTGGATTAATCTTCTTTTTTAACCTTATCTACCTATTTATTTTCAACAGTGTTCTACATTCAGTTACCTTCTTCATGATAATAATTTCCCATCTATTTGGAATTGCTATCATTCTACCATAAAAGTCTATACAAAATTGATATTAATTTTATATTTTCTTAAACAATTTTCATATGAAAATAAAGTAGTATTCCCTGCCATCGTATCATTAAAAAAACAAAACCACACTTCTCTACTAATTTGAACTTAAAGATAACCTTTCCATATATTTTGATGTTTGGGTTTAACCATATGGAATGCGTCATATTATCAGTATTATTCCACTATAAAATCATTTTGCAACATGGAAAAGATTTACCAGGATATCATGCCAAAAAGGATTGACTTGCTTAGGGAATAAAATAATCCATCTTGACTTAAATGTAAAATTTTGTTTTTTCTCCGAATGTCTGCATATAACTTCTTTATCATTGACAAAATATTTTAGAAGACTTTTTTGTCAAATGTACTACCATCTATAACACCTTTTTTGTTGGTGTCTTTGTTAAATTTATTTGTATGTTGGCATGAATTTTTCAGTCAGTTGTGTTGTATGTCATGGCTGAATGTTTACACAGCTTTGGCTGTTGGATCCCAATATGTCTGTTTGGGTTGGTAATTAAAATCAACTGCTGTACAAAAGGGAGGTTTATCTAGCTTCAAAACCAGGTTTTTTTTCGGATAATGGCTGTACCAAGTCAGAAATATGACAGTTGTTTTTCACTTGTTCCGTTAGTTGATAACGTTTGACTTTGTCAGTTTTTATGGACTTCCCCATTTTGAATTTACCTTGGAGTTCGGTAATTTTGTTGAACCTTTTTTGCAAAAACATCAACATATGTACCAATAAAAGCGATTAAATTATGTTTACATTGCCTAGGACAAAAAGTCGTTGAAGGGGATTCTAAATCTTGAGAAAAGTTGAAATATGAGTAGGGAGCACCTTAAACGTTCTAAAACTATCTATGATGAGTTTATTTACAATCTATCAAATAGATCTTCAGTCTGAACCTTGTTAGCACCTGCAGTACAAAATGTTATCAAAAATTAGTGAAGCGCAATTTGTCAATGTTTATATTAAATCATACGGAAATAGATTGTATCATAAATAGTCAACGCTAGACTATATACCCTGCTTTCAGACGCATCACATGAATGGTTGTGTATTTTCATACATGGCGGTTTTTGGAGCAGACATTTCCAAACAGTCTTTTGGTGTTTCTTGGTCCTGATTTTGTTCAAGTTCATCATAAGGATTTACTTCAAAATCTCCTTCAGTTGTAGATATATACTGTCTACAACTACCTCTGCCTCTCGTCCGTGTTTTCGTCATGAGTGTCATCCGCCATTTCCAAATGAAAAACAGAACAACTATTACAAGAATAACAAATACTAGCCCACCAATGGAACTACACACCGAAATAATTATCAATTTAATACTCAAACCGGATTCTGTATCAGTGTGAATGTATATCTTTGAACGAAAAAGAATTGTTATTTCGAATACTATTTTATCAGTTCCGTCCTCACATAATATTTGGACCTCATATCCCAATGTTGAATTACTTGTCGAATGGTCGGGTACATGTAAATATGCCTCTATGAAACAAAAAGAGCAAATTACAATTTAAATATTGTGTACATATTAACTTCTTCATCGAAATGTAATGCACAATATAAACATATAAGCTCTAAAACTACAGAAAAATAAAGTTTTAAGAACTTGTATTCGATTTACGTTTAAAAAAATCGAAAAGAAGCAATCAAAACACATTGCATAATTCAAGTGTCATATTTGTCATTTCTTAAGGACATCAATGAGTCAACACAAAAACACGATTTTTTATTTGTGCAAAACTTTATGGTCTGAAGTGGTTTCCCGGGTGAATCTGAATCCGAATCATTACACCAATACATCAAAATAATTGCAAATATAATCACGATCAAGTGAATAGACGAATGTACAGGTGCCAACAGTACTACAAATTCAAAACTTCAGGGATTTGAAGTTGTATTTAAATGTTCAATAAATGCATATCTGGTCATCATTTTCATAAAGGATTAAGGCTATAATGGCCTAAAATTGCCCCAGATTTACAAAATGATAAAAGTTTTAACCGAACAGATTTCTCTTCATAAATTATTAGAATATGAGTCAATAATTAAAAAAAAAAGTGTTTGTCTAACAAAAAAAAAGAAAGTTTAATGAAGTCACAGTGATAGGTGCAGATGACGTCATAATCGGGAAAATGAGCAAAAATACAGAAATTGGGATGGTTTTCTTACATTTTGACCACCGCACCATGCTTGCACCAATTTGAAATTTTAACATTTTGACAAGTCAATACATATGAACCTTCAGATACAAATTTTTTTTGGTGCAAGGTTGGTGTGATAGTTTATTATATATTTTTGATAGCCAAGTAGAGCAATAAAGAGCTGAAATTTGCTTTAAAAATGAGACCTATTCTTCTTACAAAGTTTAATTTATACATTCTTATGCTCATATGAGTTTTACTTTTTCGCTTATGATTCAGTAATAGGTATTTCTAATATTATATACGTAAGTATACCTAGTTTAACTTACAAAACAAAACCCAAAAGCAATGAACTACATATTATAAGGGAGTCATGATAATTTTAAGGAAAAGTTTTTTTTTATAAAATATGAAATTTTAGATAGACATACAATATAACAAAATCTGATCATTTCATATGTTTCTGCTAATCTCAATTCAAAATTTGTGTTCGAAATGGGACAATCTTCTCTGATATTAGGGTCTGATCCAGGATTTATGAAAAGGGGGATGGGGTAATTCCAGAATCAAAATCTACAGAAAAAAGTTAAAAGATTTTATGCGTAGATTTACATTATTGGTGAGAAACGTGAGATTTATTTTGTTGGCGATCAAAACAGGAAGGGGCACATGCCTTTATACTTGCCCTTTTGATTGGACACTTGGTATCATCATTTTCATTAGTTTTGGTTAATGATGTGAGATCTAATTTGCTTTAGTTCTTAATGATGAGACTAAACACAAAAACTGGATACATAGAGAATGATGCAGTATTGTTTTATGTGTTAATCTATATTAGCTAAGTTGCAAGATAGGTCAAACTTAACTTATATAATCATGAATGCTTTCGTCATCCACAAGTTTAAATTTCTGTTTAGTAACAACGGTTTGAGCTGTAAACAATATATGTATCATCATGTGGCATGTATGGTCAACGGATTCGACAGATACAAAATTAAAGAAAAAACAGTACTCAACACAAATTAACTGTTGACACAGAGATATGTCTCGCCTTTTTGTAATTTTTATAATATAATGCAAATATTGAATCCAAATGTCAATATTTAAACATAAAAACTATGCAAACGTTCAGCGTAAATAAACCATGACTTTAGATGCAGGACCAAAAAAAAAAAAACCCCCATTGAAATGAGAAATGCCAAAACTTGTAAAACTGCATACCAAATAACATTGACCCATCATGAGTGGTTCCCTTAACACTAACCTAAACACACACTTTAAATTATAAACAATGTTAAAGTTCAAAAGTCAATGAACCATGATAGGGAATGGGGCTAAAAGAGAAACGAAAGATACCAGAGGGACAGTCAAATAATTAAATAAATAATATCCATGGAAAAGAAGACTTGCAAATGCTAAATTATACTATCATTAAGTTAAAATTAGTGGTTCCTCTTAACCAGATCAAATCACAAACTTTAACATGTAAACTATGCAAAACATTCAAAGTCAATAGATCATGACTAATGAAGTGGGCCCAAATAATCTCAATGGAAATGAGATGTGTCAATGCTAATACAACTGCATAACAAATATCACAGGCCTACCACTATTGGTTCCCCGTAAACTGACCTAATCACAAACTAATACATTGTTGACGCCGCCAATGCCGTAGTAAACCGCATAACTAAGTCTCGATTTTTGACTCCGTCAAGGCGAGACAAAAACCCTGCCGACTCTACATAAGTACTGTAACAAAAATATACTTATTTAAAAAAACACCCTTTAATGCATGTTTCTATATTTATTTATCATAAATAATTAACATTTAATTATTTTTTTCGCTAAATCATTCTTCTTGTCGCTAATTAGTGAGACCTGCGGCGAGGAATTAAAAACTTAAAAGGACTCCATCCTGCACTGGAGACAAAATCTGTTAATATCATCAATAACCGGTATAACGGAAACATTATATAAGATGTACACTTGTTAATTCATGCAAAAAGTAATAACCAGTAATTTCACCGTAAGGGCAAAGCATGGTACACTTTTTCACTTTACAGATGGATTCAGAGAAGTGCATTTCGTTACCACGTTCTCTTGAAGAATTACTGTTGTTTGTCTACAGTTTTGTTTGTGGTTATTTCAACATTGATTTTTATCCTTGACTTTTTCCTTTGAGTTTGTTACTTTTTACAATGTGCATCTTTAATCATCTTTTCGTTGCAACATACTTAAAGTTAAATCTTGTGAAATAGAAAACAAATTGCCATTGCCATGGGCAAATATTTGTTGCTAGGGAGAAATTACAATGATTTTGCCAAGAAATGTGCATTACATTGTGATACATTTAAACAGCGTATAAATGCATAATGCACTGCACGTTAAACAGGTTTGATTTCAAATATAGAAAGATTTAAGCTGTACATTTAGTGTATGCAATGACTTTATCTCCACCATTTAACTGGTTGCTAGGCAACAGAATAAATGAGACAGACCCAAAATGCCACCATTTTCAGAAGGTTTGTGATATAGAGTTACAACATGACAAATTAAATGAAATTTGGGGGTGGGGCCAAAAATAGCCCTTATCGCCGCTTTTCCTTTATCAAAATAACTTTCATTTCCGCCCTTTATGTTGTCATTTGTCAAGACAATTCCGCAAATCAAGAATCTTAGCTAGCTATAAAACCAGGTTTAATCCACTATTTTCTACACAAAGAAATGCCTGTACCAAGTCAGGAATATGACATTGTTTTCAATTCGTTTGATGTGTTTGAGCTTTTGACTTTGCAATTTGATATAGACTTTTCGATTTGTATTTTTATTTTTTCACTTTTTGTTTTGTTGTTTAAATTTGTTTTACCATTGCCTATAATCTCTAAAGCTAATGCACTCTTCAGAGGAAACGTTTTACTCAAAACGCAAGAAACGTTATCAGTCGAGGGATCTGCGACATTGAAAATGTGAAAACTGGAATCGTCTTGAAGTTCTTGTGGGTCTATGCTTAATTCTTCTATTAAATCTGTCACAACGGGTGGCTGTTAAAATAAATATTTAAATATTAAAAATATATATATGTACCGCAACAGTAACGAAATCAATTCTTTATATACTTTACGTCGTCTTCACGTAATATTGAGAAAGCTATACATTTGTACATTATCTATCATATCTTATAAATAGAAGATAGTTTTGTAGTCTGCAAATTTCAATATTCCAGATCCTTTGATTTTTCATATAGTTTAAATAGAAATTACTGATAATTAAAAAAAACTCCGTAATTTCGTTAGTTGGCTGTAATATTGTTTTTTTACCCATTATGTCTTTATCCAGTTTTGGTATAGACTTGAACTACCAGGTTTATTTTTAATCATTTTTTTAAAAAACGTTTCTAAAATTATCCCTTTAGCACACGGTCGGTTAATCATAAGTAAGAACCTCTGATCATTGGTAATGTGATGTTTCAAATAATACCTTACAATACATATAACTGTTTGCTGATACTTACAGCATTGGATGATATTATGATAATGGTAGCTTTGGCCAAATTAAAGCATGAGTCCTGAACCGTCAGAGTAAAGTTTAGAATTGAACTTCTCTGACCTACCACATGTGGAAGAGCCTTCTTTACATGAAGACTTCCTACAATGAAAAGAAAAAAAAAATGAAATACCTTTTACTTTTTAGATTAAAATGTTTATCTTAGTATCAACTTAAAAGTCCATTGTTCGGTTTTAAATCTATTTTATAGAATTTACTGAACGCATTATCTAATGATTGACAGGCTCACAGAATTATCAGGTGGATTTTGAAACTTAGTGGACACACAAAATCATGACCTGTATCGCAAGTGTTATGATTGGCTATAGCACGAAATCAGTACGGACAGTTTTCAATGTATTTATGTTTTTAAGGCTCAGTCTTTGTCAAACAATCTATGAACTTATGCTAAAATAACAGACTGTAACTGAGTATGTTTAAGGTTATAAAATAATATATCACAATCCTAACATTTTTATTAAGTTAGTGATGCTTATGAATAATTTTTCCAAATGTCAAAATTTGCCATTTGTAGGAATTGTATGTAAGTTTGAGTATGCCAAGAAACACAAAACAAGGAGATAAAGGATACTTTCAAAGGTATTTTTTCATGGTGATAAAGTAAGCAATTAGCTGAAAGGTGCATCGCTTACAAATGAAAAAGTCACACATTACATGCATTTACTGAGGACCGCCTCCGGGCGCGTGTTAGTCGCTGCGTTGAAAACCCATTGGTGGCCTTGGGCTGTTTTCTCCTCTAGGTCGGATTGTTGTCTCTTTGACACATGTTTCGTTTCCATTCTCTATTCTATTAGCGTTATTTTTTTTATTATACAATATATTGCTTATATACTAAGAATATAAGCCAATCTGCTTATTATATTACATCTCGTTGTTTGATACCACAGAAAGTTTAAGACGTCATAAGAAAAAACTTAAACATTTTTGAAGCTATTCATGACCAAATTAACATGATTAAAACTCAATCGTAAAATTTACCTTACAATATGGTGGTTTAACCTCATGCGTGTATATGAAAGTTTACCTGCATACCTCTGTTTGTTTGATGACATAGAACATAATATTTTAATCGAAACATACTAGATTCTAAACGATATGAAATTCTTTTTTTTTTATTTAAAAAAGATAAGAACAGTTAATTTTTACCCACTTAGTTTTGTATCAAAATAAAAATATTCATTGTTGTAATCAAGTTTAAAATCTTTTATAAAGTCGCCGTAATCTGGATCATGTATTGGAATTGTCATCACAAATGCATCTAGCTTTAAGTGATCAGGGATCGTCACAGATTCAGATGATCTGGCAATAGTGACTGCTCTATCTAAAGTAGAAATCATAGAACAAAAAAGAATCCTGCAATAGTTCATTTAAATGCATTCATTCAAAAAAATTGTATTGAATACTGGATATTAAAGAAATCGTTTTTGATTGAGTTTGTTGCCGTTTCTTTTGTTATCTACAAATGCAATTTGATGTTCATTGTCCGTTAAACGCAAATAATTGCGTTTGGAAATTTGTGTTATACTTCCATTTACCTAAGATTTAATGACAACGGACATGGTTTTGTGGTCGCAATATATTTATAATAACCAATGATTGTTTCCACTGCCAAATTTGGAGATAGAGAAACAATAATACAATTTGTGTATACCCAAGGTATAGATTACCTTAGATGTACTCGGAATTTTATGTTATTAACGCTCGTCAACTTCGTTTTATATGATTTGACTTTGCAAACGTTTTAGTTGGAGCGCCGCTGATGCGTCTTAGGTAGAAACAACGCGCTTATGACGTACCAAATTATAAGTCTTGTACCTTTGACGAGTTTTCACTACTCATGTGTAAAAATCGTTTGAAATGGATTATCCGTAGAGAAAACACTATATTTGATTTTGACATAATATAAGTGATTTATTACATTAAATATTCAGCTCAAATGTAATTTAACAAAATTATGGTTGCAATTATTAAATAAACTCATCATAGAAATTTTTTAATCTTTCTCACTTAAAATATAGACATAAGTAACATACTTTGAGTTGTTGAATAATTGAGAGCATATATTCTGTTGGACAAGTTGCTTAAACTCTCAATATCAACAACATCTCCCTCATTGACAAGATTCTGAAGCCTCAATGACAAAGGACATGGTTGTGTGGTTGAAATACAATCATAATAACCAATGTTGTTTCCACTACCAAACCTGGAAATAAAGAAACAATAACACAAGATGTGTCATTTTAATGAATTGAAAAGCTGTTTTTTTCAATAGTACATAGTTAATATCAAGGTACTTAAAAAGACGTTAGAAATTAAAGTCAAGTTGCTATCTCGTGACGGTCAGTATTTAATTGGTGGATGAAGCCGGAGAGCCCAGGGAGAACCACGGACCTTCGGTAGGAAAACTTACAAACCTAGTCAATTAAGATTGAAATCGAGCACACCTGCCACGTGCGGGATTCGAACTCACAACCTGAGTGTTGACAGGCTAGTAATACATTAGTTAGACTACTTAGACCACTCTGCGACCGAGGCTCCTAAAAGATTGATAATAGCTTCTAATTGTATTTTTCTCGTGGAAGAAATAACGACAGAAATGTTAAAATAAAGAATAAAATTTACACAAGAAAAATACTCTTTCTGCATCTATTTGCTCACTTAGCATGAAGGGTCAGGTAACGTTCTGTCTAAACTTTCAAATTTTAATCGTCTGCAAAATCTTTTTTTTCTCATTTGCAACCAAACTAGACATGAATCTTCATATTCAAAGGCTCGTCCTAAACATGCATGAAATTTTTGCCACTGGACGTTAAGCAACCAACAATTAATCAATCAATCATATTCAAAGGTACATGCACTTTCCATTACAAAGGTTTTTTTTAATGTGAATCTGAAATTTTGGATTGCTACAAGGGCAAACATGTATACTGATTGCCTGAAATTGTAAAGATCATATGATTGGTATATAAATTAAAAAATATTGTAGGAATGATCTATTGAAAGTCTAATACCAAATTTGAGTTTTTTTGTAACCAATGGCCAAATTCAAGATGACAACTACCACTGGCACCATTGAACAAAGTTTACAATACATAAATACATATGCGTAGATTTTTCTAAGAAACTTTCTTACACATTTGACTGAAAGCTTGAACTGATGATACTAAGGCGATCCTATATTACTTTTTACCTTTTGTTGCCTAACCGAAATAAAAAACAAATTACCACAAGGGTGAAACACAATAAAACCGTAAAAAATACACATACACAGCTGCTGAGAAACCATCGCACACATTAAAACCAAATCATGCACACTGATCTGTGTCCACACCTGTATTCTAAATAAAATATTTTAACATTAGGCCAATTAAAATTAATTGATAGATTTTCATCCCCGCCCGCCCCTCTGAAATCGTCCCGCCCCGATTTTTTTTATTTTTAAAAATTTTCGATTTCCGGATTTTGTTCGTTTCCGTTACCGGTAGCCGCCGATAATTTCGTTTCAATCAAAACTTCCTGTAGCAAATTTCGGTTTTTGTATTTCTTCCGAGTAATTTAACCAAAATGATGAAGTCGAAACATTCTGCTGCTCTATGATGACAACATTATCTTCCGAGAATAGAGATTTCTTACGAGAATGGCGTGAAATATTCGGGTTACGAGTAACAGGCGGTGTCCAAAAACACAAATCGTGGTATGTCACAAATTTCAGTGATTAAAAAACCGTGGATTTTTTTATTTATACAATGACTCTGTGTCAGGAAATTTGGACTGTGAATGATATCCAAAGCGCAAGAATCGTGGAACACATTGCTACAAAAAAAATATGACTGGAATAAAGAAATTGACACAAGCACGAACTTGTGCGATCTATGTTTATAACCATATATTGAGTACAAAAAGTCGGCCAACGTTCAAAATGTATTGTCACGAAATAGAAGTTCATTCATAATAAAAGTTCCATGTGGAAGAAATATTCTGTAATATTATTTCCACTGGGACAAATATTACAGAATGTGTTCTTAACGGAATAAAGGGTATAGACTATTTGTTCCAACTGGAACAGATATTATGACATTGTTAATAACAAAGGTTCCAGGAGAACTTCTGTTAGGCGGAACAAATATACGTTGACAACTCTAGTATTTTCAAAACAGTTTGAGTTTTCATTTCACTCTGTACTCATAATACTTGTAATGGGCACTACAAACCATAGCTTAGAAAGCAAAATAAATTTGATGTAGGTAGTCTAAAAGAGAGCATTTCTCCACCTTTTTGCTATTTACTAACAATAGGTTTCTAAAACGGCAATTAAATGTAGAACAGTGGTTGCCAATCAGAAATATTATGAATTAGAAAAATTATGTAGAATTCCTTATATATACATAATATAAACTTAATATTACCCTTCCATATGTACAGTCTGATTGAAAACATCCCCCACTATCTACAAAGGCAAATGGATAGTAGGGGGTGGTTTTAATCAGACTGGCATATGAAGAACAAGTCACAAAAGGGTTTCGAAGGAAATAAAAATAAAAAAATAAAATCTTCCCACCCGCCCCATTTTTTTTCAAAAATTTGGATGAAAATCTACTAATTAATTTTAGTTGGCCTTACCTTTAATACAATGTATATTGACGGGTTAGAAATAATTGTTCAAAATAAGATTACCAAACTAAAATGTCCATACTTTACCATACTTTAGACCAGTTTTAATTGAAACGTTTCGTAATGTAGTTTTTTCGTGTCTTGTAGATCTCGACTCTCCAGCTATACATCTCCTATTAAGCTCTTTATCATCAAGTGTTACACACCGAACATAATTATTTATTATTGTTTTTTCACTTTAATATAGGAATGAGTACGTTATGATGTGTTATTGTCAAGTTATTATCATGAAAATAACGCATTACAGAAATACTCGTCACCATGAATTGGCTACACAATTTATGTCGAGAGAAGTTACTTGCCATCCAATAATGTCTCCCTGGCCAATAACAATACGTTCATTATCAGACACGTTGAGCTGTGTTGATTTGTGAAGGTCTTGTGCTATTGAAAACAATATGAATCTATGATATAATTCTTTTCGTTTACGTTTAAAGTAATACATAGATTTCTAAATTTCAGAACATGTGTGAGTCGTCATATTAATATACATACTGAAATGGCAAATTTAGTGTTCCCATAAGGAAACCCAAGAAATTATTTGGATCAGCAACTGATAAATATAGATGCTGAGCTTTTATAACATGACATACTTTGTGCGAGTTAGTTTTTTGCTCTAGGAGGCTGTTTTCAAGGAGTTGCGGATAAACAAAGGAAAAGCTGAAGTCATGTGTAATATCGCGGAATGATAAAGTGGTCCCCCAGAGCCGGGCAACTAAAAATTGTGTGCTTTCATTTTGATAAACATAGCACTGCATCGAGTGTGATGTCACAATAGTAAATTCGGAGGAAAACAAGAACATTTGACGTCATAATCGAATTTTTACCAATGAAGAACAGAGATCTGACGAACAAAAACTTAATTAGATACAAATAATCAACAGGTCGGGAAACGAAAAAATCGGCTAAGCTTTAATAAAACGATTATGTAATATAGCCTTGTGTAGAATAAAGCCTAATGTCGTGACTAAATACATTGTTTTAGTGTGATGCCACACACTTGAAGCTGAATGTACCGAATCAATAGCACCCGATACAAAAATAATCTCTTTATATTTTTTCTCTGATGTGAACACTATGGTCAATATTGACTTTTTAAAAACAACATCTGTCTTCAATTTCATGTTAAAGAAACAAAATAATATTCGTTCTCTATATTTTGTGGGTTTCAAATAAATTCTGTGTAGTACGTAAAACATTGTACGGATGATATATTTAAACATCAATCTCCAGTCGTTTTTTATGAATGAACTTACACCGATTGACCTCGGGACATGGGGTGTTAACGACATCATTGAGTATTTGGTTTTAATTCTGACGTAATAACATAAGCATTGTACGGGAAAGTGCACGAGTTGGAAAGTCGTCTAAACATAATTGCCGCTTCAATTTTGTTCTCAATTTGTTACAGTTTTAAAAGCTTTTGATTTACAGTTGTGATGTGCAATCAACTGTTCTATATAGCATTTAAGTTATATACCTGAGATATGTACTTGGTTGGATCCAACAAATTTGTATTTGTGATTATCTGTCTTTCTCAGGATCACAAATGTGATACTTCCAGTTTTTACAGGAACAAACTCCCACATTTTTACTCTCCCACAACAATTAACAGCAAATATCCCATCCAGAAGCAAAAAGCCGGATCCTGAAAATAATTATAATATACAATAAAAAAAAATATCTAAAATGTAGAAACTATATGGAGCAAGTTTCAAAATTATCGTCGGACAGCCTTATAAAGCGAACCCTATCGTATTATAGCTAGGAAAAGTATGAACAAATATATTATTTAAACATGAAATACACAATTCTATCGGAATATTGTGTACTGTTTTAATATTTAGTTAAAATAAATGTGTTTTTGATAAGCAGTGTTTCTGAAGAATTTAGATATCAATTTTATATCTAGATTTAAGATAATAATAATACCAGGAGATGTATCTTCCTTCAGATCCAAGAAGGATTTTGATAATGAATGGTGAAAATTGTTGTCATCACAATCTACAAATAGAATACATTTTAATACATTTCCCTTTTTTTCCGGGAAACGAGAATATATATATTCAATCAATATAGAATATTTTTCGTCTCTATAGCCAACTCCTTTTAGACCTATCTAAATGTGTACAAAGTACACATCTGATTTTGCAGTTGGATTTTTGTGACATGGTTTTGTTAAAGGGAATAAAATGAAATAGAGACTTTATTTACCGTTAATAAAATGAGGAATTGTTAAAAAGTTTGACTCCAGACATAAATGGCCTGCGTCCTGAGTAACAAATTATTAATGTTTCACATTTGATCCCTTTTACTGAGTGTACATTGCCTTGATATATTTATTAACTTTGAAATGCTCAATTGTATCATTCATTCACACGATATTTTTCTGTTGTTTTTGTTTTTGTATTTGCGACCGTGTTTTCATCGTCGTCTGATCTGTTGTTTTTTTTTGCGACCGTGTTATCATCGTCGTCTGATCTGTTATTTTTTTTTGCAACTGTGTTATCATCGTCGTCTGATCTGT